CCCCGTACATTGTAAAGCTCTGGCTGTTTTCATCTGAATAAATTGGTTCTAAGTGGCAAATTAAGCTTACTTGCTGGAATTCTTGTACCCATACTCCTTTCCATCTTAATAAATCTTGCTAAAGAGAAGTCTGGAAGAATTGTGCTATATAAAAAAGAAACACTTTTAGATGAATCAGTTGCCCAAAGGTCTGATACCCTACTTGTGGAGACAAACCATATTTACCCATATTGAAAGCTGCTGAGAGATGAAGCAAAATCAGTAGTCTCACTCCCTCTGTCTCTCTCCCCCAGGAGGTCATCAATCAACCAGAACAGAAATCCAGTTGAAAAGGTCAATGTAAATCTGTGTATTTCTAGAACCCCCAAATACTTACTGATCTCATGGGATGACCTGTGCTAAATTGTTCAAATCTATTTAGTCATTAGACTGAGGGCTTCTAAAGTAAAGCTCTAAGACTAACCCATAGGGCTGCCAAAAATCTGGCCAGAAGCAAACAAATAAATCCACCTTTTTTATAGAGTACAACTGTGAGCCTCCAAAGAAGCAGTCAACACAAAGTCAGTTATTATAAATAGTTTTATCACTTTAAAATGTTTCTCACCTCAGTTAAACTGTTGGAAGTTAAAAATACTTAATGATCTATTGAACATCACTTCACAGTTATATCAGCAGAGATTCTATTCCTGTTGTGAAGTATTAAACCACTGGGTAAGTAGCTGGAAAGGAATTACTTTAGTCTTTTCTTTTTTTTTGAGTATTCTAAAGCAACAAACTGGCCTATTTGGAATAAGCATTTTCCATATGTATTGAACCTTAGCCAGCATTGCCAATGACTATGTTGATTTTGGATTATGAGGCCTGTAATGATAGCTTTTTTTGATGAAGGAAAATAATAGAATTCTGGGCTGAGAAAAAAAATCTTACGATATACTACTGTAATAAAATAATAACAGGACTACTGTTTGCCAAGGCAGATTAAAGACAAACTGCAATTAATGGTATCAGTTGATTTAAATTTCCATTCACATATTTTAATTCCTGCCAAACATTACTAACAATTTTAAAGGCTACCCTTTTAAAATTCCATTATCTCTTCTCTGACATGTCTATAATACATTTATTTGCAGGGCCTGATTTTGAATTTAACTCTTGCTCAAGATATCCTTCTTGACTGGGAGATATATCCCCTGGACATTGACAGAGCAGTGCAAGAGGGCTTCAGTCCTAAGATATCTGGAAAAAAAGCATCTGCATATGAAGAGCCTAGTTTTTATACTGGGAATTTTTCCATTCCTAGTGGAATTCCAGATTTGCCTCAGGACACCTACCTCAAATTTCCAGGGTGGACAAAGGTACAATCTTTTTCATAAAAAGTTCATGTCTTTCATAACTTCAAAATTCATGTCAAACTTCAAAGTACTTCTCATCAACCTTGCTTATAGACAAAGTGTGAAGCAGCTTAACTGGAATATATTGACAGTATTGGTATTGTTAGCTTCCAGTGCTAGGACTGAATGGCTTCTTCATAATAGAAATATTTAGGATGTCAACCACAAGGATTGGTAAAGTTGGCAATAAACAACAAAGCCATTATCTTATCTGCAGGCTATATAATCTAATAAAACCAAGTCATTAGGAATTACAATTATATTATGTTATGTTGTTTGATATCTGTCTCTTGCAACTGGTGGACCTGTAGATGCCTATTGGCTGAACCATATTAATATCAGTTGATAGATGCATGGTATTTCCTGTAAGAACATACTTGCATCCTGCGCAAATTCGTATTAAAAGAGTCTGCCTTCCCCACAATATGTTCCAGTGCCCAAGACCCAAATGTCCATTTGATACATCACTACTTAGAGAGATCATAGTACAACAGTTCTTATAATCCTTTCATGTGAGAACATCAGTGATGGGAATGCCCAACTTGTGAAAATGAAAAGGTTCTTTGGTCCATTATTTCTAATTAAGCGCTTTTCTAAGGTTGAAAATATCAGTGCACTTTCTAATTTAACATTTCAGCCATGTGTATTACATGGGCATCTTCCTCCATGCCATGGAATAATTATGTTATTAGCAGTATCTTAATGGAGGATTTTGCTCGACAACATCCTTCTGGAACAGTTCTGTGTGTTGAGTATATTCAGTGTTATTAATACTTCTGTGCCACAGTGGTTTCTCAGGATTCCATTCTGCCACCAAATCTGATAAACATGTATATGACATTGGTGGTGTCCTTGGGGAGCATTCATTATGACATTTGAAGTACAGAGATCTATTTCTCTGTATTATTTTAGTCAAGAGAAAGCCTTTCACCCCAGCTGAATAGTTACTTGTTTTTAATTAAATCTGTGCTGTTGTGTGTCTTGTTGTTCATGTGTCCTGGTTTTATTCTATATTTTAGCCCATTTGTGAGATTTTTATTGTACAATTAAAAATGGCTGCCAGAATATATGAAACAAGCCCTTTGTCAGATTATATTCAGGCCATATATAACTCATTACTCATTCTTGGAGAACATATATCTCTGTGGTCATAAGAGTTGACACTGACTTGATGGCACATAATCAAACTATCTGTTATTAACTAATTGGAGAGTGTGTCTCCCTTCATGCAGCTCCATAGAACTATGTGAAAGGCATTGTTCAACACCCCTTCCTGTATAGAAGTGAAGGCTGCAAGTCAACGTTAAAAACAGGGTCTCTAGTAAGGGATGACACTGCTGATTTTCAGTAGAATATTTGTCGCTCCACAGGGTTGAACTGTGGAGTCCTTGGTCCTCTTTGAGCTTGGTTGCTTGCTTGCAGGCATTTCATTACACAACTAGGTAACATCAGTGCGAGTAAGTGTGGGGTTTGCTTCCTGTTTATATACAGTAGCTTGCCCTGCCAGTGTTGGTGGAGGTTTGATTTTCTCCTTGGTAATTCCTTGATTAGGGTACTGTTTTCTGCTTGCTTGTTTGTCTGGTGTTAATTCTTGATTATCTGTGTGTTGGTTGCTGGAGAGGATGTGTTCTGGTCTTTTTGTTTCCTTAGTTTTTTATTGTCTCTTTTGAATGGTGTGTCTTGGCCTAGGATGCTCACAGTTTTTGAAGGAAAAAGGAAACAGACCACCTATACAACATCTTCCAGCAAAATGAATATCCACACAACTTTATCAAACAGTGCCTGACCACTCAACCCACTATAGTACAACCAACACAAGCTATAAAAAAGATACTGCCATACATCAAAAACATCTCAGAAACATCCAACAGACTATTACAACCACATGGCATCACCATAGCACACAAACCAAATAAAGCCTTCCAAAACATTTGAAGTAAACCAAAATATCCAGTAGCCCAGGAAGAAAAAACAGGAGTCATCTACAACATACAGTGTAAGGACTGTAATAGCCACTATGTAGGATAGACAACCATGGACACCAACTAGCAGTCAGAAGACATGATGAAAACTCCTTAATCTCACAACACATAGACAGACTCAACCATACGGGTAGTCCTCCCTTAACGACTGTTTGTTTAACGATGGTTCGAAGTTACGACAGTCTTGGAAAAGTGCTTTATGATCTGTACTTGCACTTACAACAGTTGCACACCGTCGCATCACCCTCCACGGTCACATGATCATGATTTGCGACCTTTTTATGATGGTGATTAAGCAAATCACTGCAGCTATTAAGTGAATCACATGGTCGCTAAGCGAATCACATGGTTATTAGATGAATTCCAGCAAAAAAATCAATTGGGGAAGCTGGATTCGCTTAACAATCACATGATCCACTTAGTGACCATGTGATTTGCTTAACAACCACAGTGATTCGCTGAAAGATTGTTGTAAAAATGGTAATAAAATTGGGTCTGATCATGTGGTGAACCGCTAAATGACCACCCCACTTAACAACCAATTTTCTGGTCTCTCTTGTGGTCATTAAGCGAGGACTATCTGTAGTCCTGGGAAACTGTGAGCATTCTAGATCAAGCTAAATCCAAAAATTCTAGGAAATTCCTGGAAACTTGGCATTTAGACAAATCAGCCATCAATAGACACATAGAGATAAACCACATTTACACAACATTCAAAGGAGACAATAAAAAAGCTTTGTTTCCCCTTTAAAGTCATCTAAGTTGGCCATTGCCATATTTTGTGGTAATAAATGTTAAGTTTTATGAGAAAATAAATGTTTATCTATCTAAGAGCAATACTAGAGTTTTTGTCCCCAATAATTTATTTTTTAAATGGGAGAGTCAGGTTCACAATGAATACAGTAATGGAAGCAAGTAAGCCTTGTTCTTTCTAACCTTTTTTTTTTTTTTTTTTGCAGGGATCTTTTTAAATTCAGGGTTATCTTTTGGGGTAAATTGTTACTTAAAAGATTCTACTTTTTTGTGCTTGATTTGTGTATTGAACAAATAGTAGATTGCCACATATTTTAGCTTGATGCTACAAAAGTCTTTTTCTTAGTCTCCTGCAAAAACAACAACAAAAAAGACTAGCAGACAATTTTGCCAAAGCCGCAGCAAGAGATAATTCTGATAAGGATGTTCTGAGGTTGAAACTTATTAATACTTTGTGGGAATGTGATTGATAATATCTCTAGAACTTATCTCCTAAAATGGATTTTACTTTTTAAAAGGCACAGAGCACCTGCATAAACAGAATGAGCTGCCAAAAATGTTAAAAATTGGGTTTGCAGAGGCAGATTTGTGCCCTAACTTAGTGATATTCATTTTTAAACTGTTCCAGTTTTTCCTGTTTCACACTTTGTCTAATCAGTATTAAGTTGTATAACACCCATCAGTGAGTCCTAGAACAGATGTCAGCACACAAGTTAAAAGGATTACCAGATGGAGCTTCCTTTCTCTGTAGCAGCGAATTGAACCCTGTGCTAATCAGCTGAAGGCCTTTGGGGGCACTTTCCATCACTCCAAGTCCCAGCTCCCTCCTGCTGCAATGAAGAGATCAATGTTTCTCAACTTTGGCAATTTTAAGATGTGTGGACATGCTGGCTAGGGAATCCTGAGAGTTGAAGTCCACATATCTTAAAGTTGTCAAGGTTGAGAAACACTGCCATAGATTGATGGTGGGGAGCTCAGTTTGCTTCTTGAGCATATTTGAAGCCACATCTAGTAGTGTCCATATAATCTTACAGATATTTCTCCAGTCACTTGTTTAGTATGTGTTCCAAACCGAAATCCTGATATCATGGGGTGGGAGGGTCATTGTGAATTCTTAATTAGAACTTTGTCAGATTTGATTTCAAATAAATGTTGCAGTCAGGATAGCTAAAATTATATTCTTTTTTTCCTTTGCAGGGACAAGTCTGGATCAATGGCTTTAATTTAGGACGCTACTGGCCAGCCCGTGGCCCTCAGTTAACATTGTTTGTTCCTAGCAACATTCTTGTTTCATCTTCTCCAAATAATATTACCATTCTGGAGCTGGAGAAGTCTCCTTGTGGCACCCAGAATTGTTTGGTGGAATTTGTAGACAAACCCATCCTCAATGGAACTCTTCTTTATGAAAGCAGTTCTGAGAAGCTGTTCTCCAAAGATTTGTGGTTGGGCCCTATATAATTCTGCTGGATTTATTGACTGTTGAGACTATCAAAATATTCAGATTCAAATGGTTGGTTAGTGGTAGGAAGTGTTATGTTTTAAGAGATTTTAACTCCATGAAAATGAACAAGCATATTCTGTGCTTTTAAAATAGTCATCTGACACTGGTGAAATCCCAATTATATTTAATTGATTTTTCCACATATTAAATTAAGAGGATAATTTCTTAAAGCTTGTCTGGGTGTTATTTTATCACCCAAATTTAACTGGATATTCCTAGACATGCCAGACTGTTTTATCCTTGTACCATTGTAGCTTTTCAGCATAAACATGTTTGGTTCTGGAATACGTTAGTGCTTTTATATGATGTCTGTCTGTGTTAGAACTGATGAAATTATTAATACTGCACCCATCACTGTTCCCCTGCCTCATAAAAGTCTGAAAATAAATGTAAAGTTGCCAAAATGACAATGCACAACCAAGTTAGTACAAAATCCTTAATCACAATACAATAGTTGTTGGAGTCACTCTAATTTTATTATTTTTTAAGAACATAAAGTCAGTTAATCAGGATGCAGCCATTCTGGAGAATTCTTCAAATAGTTTACCTGTTCATGATGATCTAGTAGATTTCTGGAAGTTAACTGTCTGAATCAAAAGCAGTTCATGATGTTCCAGACATGGCTACAGCCCTGAAACTAGCAGTGGCAAAACCATTTTTATATATGGGCATGTTAGTCACCAGGAATCAAGCTTGCCTTAAGGAAATTCTGTTGCACATCATTGTGAATCACCCTCCCCAGTTTCTACTGGTGATCCCTATACTATGTACACAGGACACTGTGTTATGGAAGCTGTTTTACACCTTATATGGATGTTGTTTATTTGTGGGGGAAATTTGGGGAAAATTTAATTTACACCAAAAGCTGATTTTATCCAGATTTATTATTTGATTGCTCCATTGTTCTTTGACTTCCATTCTTTTTTTCCACAATAGCTTCAAAGGAATTTATTTGTTCTACTCTGACAGCCAAAAGTAAACAGGATTTGTAGCACAGCATAAAATGCTAACAGCTCCCTCTGTGCCATCTCTCACTGTTCCCTCTTGTCCTCCATTAAAGTAAATAAAACAGTTGCTTGCAAAAATCTTTCCCTTCTATTACTCTTTCTGCATAGAGTCCATTTTTCCCTTTTCTTCCCTCCAGACTTCCCACTCACTACAGTTCTTTTATTTCTAGGTTCGCTGTTTGGGAACCTATGTCTTTCACAGACACTCTATCACAGTCTCACTAGATCAAGTGTAGGCCTGCAGTTCTGGAACTTACCATGGCATTTGGTCCATGCAACCATAGCTATTCCTTCATAGCTTTACAGAACAACCGAAGCACATGGTTCCTCCAGTGTTTGCCATGAAGATGAGGTGAATCCTCCAACATGGAGGTACAGTGAGGTGTGGTGTGTTCATTTGATGCACCAGGAGTGTTGTATCAAATGAGTGAAATGGCTCTTCCTGCAGATATGAATCCAGGCAGCAGCTGGTGCTTTATATTTCACAACCAAAACATGTTAGGGAAAAACCTACAACTAAAGTATAAAGCAAGAGCCAGTTTAGTGTAGTGGTGAAAGGCACTGGGCTAGAAGCAGGAGATTGTGAGTTCTAATCCTCCCTTAGGCATTAAGCCAGCTCTCAGCCTTAGGAAGGAAAGAAAATTATCTCAAGTTGTTGATCCTTGAGTGACTGACAAAAGGAATCTTGAATTTTAAGTAAATAGTTTAGAAAAATATAAATGAGAACTTATTTCAAAACCCATTTCTAAAAAGGATTGCTCAAATTTCCTCTTACTTCTCTTTTCATAAACCATAAATCCATGACAGTGATGGATTAATGTGAAATCTATGTCATGCTATTCTGCATTTGTAAACTCTTGATACTAGACTAGATACTAGACTTAATTCTAAACTCTTTTAACCTGGGAAAAAGCTATGTTTTATTAAAAAGAGAGAGAGAAAATGATTTTTACCTCTAAGATTGACTTAAAGATTGTGTGTAAGACCACAAGATGCAAGAGTCCCAGGGAACTTTGCCATATCTGGTAATTAATAATGATTTAACTAAAGCTGTCGCATGTGGAAATTTTTAATTTTTGCCTCATTCCAATTTTTCTTGCAAATTTTGAGCATGTTTCCATTTCAAGCTCCAATCTATGCAGCAAGGGTAGACAAAGCTTTATTGAGATACTTAAGGACTGTGAAGCTGAAAGGAAGCATGTTGTGGTCTCTGCCACCAGCTAAACCACTGTTGGGTGTGTGTGTACAGTACTGTGCAAAAGTTTTAGGCAGGTGTGAAAAAATGCTGTAAAGTAAGAATG